TGTATCACGGAGAGGACTATTGTTTGTCAGTTTGTGCGACGATCGGCCAAGCTGTTTCTTTATAAATAGCAGAAAAGTGAAAAATTCTCGTCCACGTTTTAGCCCGCAATTCTGGATCGATTTTGAAAAATCATTTTTTCGAAAGATATTGGTTGGAAATCGTGCTGATTAGTTTTTGGTAGAGATATTTCTTGATTTTTTTGTAATAAAGTGTTAATTTTTTTTTTACGATTTTTATGATTTATTTTTTTGACGGTAGATACCATAGTCTTATAGATCATACTAAAATATTACGACCTACGTCATGTCGCTTAATGTTAAAAAATCGTCAAAGTTCGCAAAATTTAGTATCGTTTTTTTGGCATTTGTCGAAATTAGACCTTTCATCGACGTTTACTTAAAAACGCCTGAACCGATTTCAGAAATTCAAAAACCATTTGATGTTTCTCAATGAGGACTATTGCTTGTCAGTTTTGTACGACGACCTGACGAGCCGTTTCTTTGTAATTTGCAAAAAAGTGTTAAAATTTTCGCTCACATTTAAGCTCATACTACCGAATCGATTTTAAAAAACCAAAAACTGTTCGAAAGATATTAGTTGGGAATGATACTGATTAGTTTTAGGTAAAAATCTACCAAGCCGTTTTTTTGTAATTAACTGTTGAAAAAAAAATTTAAGCCGATTTTTATGGAACTTTTTTTTGGCGATATATCATGGTTTTATAGAACTTACTGAAATATTACGGTCCTACGACTAGTAGTTTAATTTTAAAAATTCAACATAGTTTGGAAAATAAGCAGTTTGTAAAAATTAAAATTAGACGATTTACTTGGTATAACGATAGAGTACTTGGTCTTAGTGAACATACTAAACCATTAAAGTCCTACGGAAACTGGTTCAATTATAAAAATTGTTGATTTCTGAAAATTTGCTTTCAGAAAATACTCCGAGTATTTTCGTTAACGTGTTCGTTCCTTTTCCATTATGTGTAATAAATCCACTCGGAATACTTTTAATCACTAATAAATGAATTTATTTTTTCATTGATTAAGTCGATTATTTACACATATCGGGAAGTTCATGTAACTTGCCTCAAGGTAAAATACCAATAGTACCAACAAATAATAATTATAATTAGTTTTTTATTATATTATAGATCAGCCTATTAAATCATTATTATATTCAAAGAATATTCAGAATTAAAATTTTTTATTTTTAGGCCTAAAGAGTTCACTGAATGTGTGGCACATATGCGGCTTTTGTCGTGGTTGCTTTTAGGATCTCTGACACACAGTGCTTTATGTGGAAATGGCTCTGGAGGTGATAATTGGAATGGTCTAAGGTTACACGGTCCTGGAGCTCATCCTGCTGCACAACCAGTTCCACAGGAAGCCAGTTGTCATATAGCTGACCATGTACAGGTAAAGATGGCGGATAAGAAATAATAATTATAAAGTTGACCAATCTTCTTTTTTTATATCAAATGTAATATTTTTTAGGTCATTCTAGCAGGTTTCGCCGAACAATCAAAGGCATCTGTAGTGCATATGTCGTCGTTATATCATGCATTCATATTGTGCCAATTGTGGACAATGTATTTAGAGCAAGGAGCAGCAACTGCTGGCCCTATAGGGCCACCAGGAGCACCTGGAGCTCAGGCCGAGGCTTGTGGTGTCACGGTCAGCATATTATTCGAATTTTGGGGAAAAGTTACCCCTTGTATACTGCAGCTAGTTTCGCACACAAAAGTGGTACATTATAAATATTATAGTGTATTGAAAAGAAAGTTATAAAATTTGTTTTCCTGTTATTTTAGTTAGCAGAAATGGTAAATTTACACTTCTTAAGCTTACTTGAAGCTTTACTGGAATGCAGATCGAGTGTTCTGAGTAAACTATTGCCATTGTGGACACCTGTTTTATATTCACAGAATATGCAGGTAAGATTTTGGATTTGTTTTCTTACTAAACTTTTGTCTCATGAATTATTGTAATATTTATATTTTTTCAGCTACCAGGTAATCTAAAAATGAGACTACAAGCTTGTCGAGATATGGCTCCAAATATATGTGTAGATGATAATTACAATTCTGTAATGTTAAAATGGTTGCTCAAATTGCAATTTAAAATGAGCCAGATCGAATTGCAATCATCGACAGCTACTCAATTCTATTCTATATAGATATTCTATATATCTAAATTCTATATGAAAGATTTTTTTGTTATCAATGAAAATGAGTGTGCCTTGGTTGTAAAATGTATGAGTTTGAAATATAAAAAATATTTATTGTTATTCAAATAGCTCTTTTAATTCATCAATGTGTATGATCATAACTAGTTGTAAGTGGCATTTTGCCCCCCAGGTAATTTGCATAAACTGCTCTATACGTGTGAATAATCATCTTAATCAATATGGAAATCATGAATGTATATATAAGTATACAGAGTTGCTGTATAGCACCATAATGTGGAAAACTATTGCAGATTATTAAATTTTCTAAAAAAAATATTAGAGTTTACTGAAAAACAAACTCGTGCCTGAAACATACACGAAGTGTTTTCTAGAACCATTTTTCGTAAGACTATAATATATTATAGTATGTTTATTAAAACGAATATTTTTTTTAATTTCCAAGATCTTTTGCACTTTTTTGCTAATTTTAAAGAAACGGCTCAGCCGATCGTATAGAAAAACTAACCAACGCAAGTGCTTATCAAGTTTTAACGAATGGCTTTTAAATTTATGAAATCAGTTGAGCCGTTTTTGAGAGAACGTCGAAGAAATGTCTCACGTCAAAAAGACGCAGCTCATTTTTTCAACCTTGGATAAATTTTTAAAATTTAAATGACGCCAACTGGGTCAACGAAATCTATCGTTATATAAAATTTCAACAAAATTGACAAAAAAAATTGTTTCAACATTTAAATACGAAGAAATGGCCTAGCAGATTTTTACTAAAAAGTCAAAGCAACAATTATTTTTCGAATTTCTAACCCTTTCCACTCGCGAATTCCGAGATTTATATGTATTTTGCCGCCGGATCGGCGACATCCGAGTGGAAAGAGTTAAAATCGATTCAAAATTGTGGGCCAAAACGTTGACACAATAATCTACCCTTTTCTGCTAATTGCGAAGAAACGGCTTGGCCGATTATTATGCAAAACTAACCAACGCGAGTCCTCGTTGAAATCATGAAATCTTGATATAAAAATGAATACGTCAAATGGTTTTTAATTTTTTTAAATCGGTCAAGCCGTTTTTGAGGAAACGTTGATTTAAAGTAAAAAATCTGTTCACACACATACATACATACACACACACTTTCCAAAATTTGGTCTCATTCGATTCAGAATGGCTTGAAAGGTCGAGGAAACATAAAATTTGCAAATAGGATTTTTTTGTGAAAATATAAACCAATATAGGAAATAATATATAATAATTATTTTATTGCCATGAATAATATTTTAGATATTTCGTATTTTATGCAAATACAGATTTAAAATATACCATACCTCTGGAACGACTGATATCAAAAATGTAATTAAATTAAACATAGATAACAAAATGTTATTGGCACATATTCACTTTTTATAATTTGAACTTGATATACATTACACTTGTATATGTTTATCGTTTTAGGAAAATACGTGCTCCAAAAACTTGGACAACATGTAATATTTTTTCATAATTAAATCAGTACACTATTTTTATCGAAACGATAATTTTACGCGTGCTAAAATGAAAATATCTATTTTTATTT